TAAAGAGGTAATTTCTTTCTTTGCTGCATAAGACTGCTGAGGTTTGGTTGGTTTTTTTTTTGTTTTTTGGGTGGGTTTTTATTTGTTTGTTTACTTGTTTGTTCATTTGGAAATGAGCTCTGTACTACCCAAATTTTCACAATCAGTAAGTCAAGAAAAACTGATGTGATTGTGATCTCAAATGTTCTCTATCCCAGAGGTATGTAGTGATTTTCAGCACTGAGGTTTATTTCTTTTTATTTAGAAGGCCACATCTCACATTAATCTATTTCACTAGAAAGGCAGAATAGAGGCGACTGGAGCCCTACTATGAACTCAATCTCTGCCTTTTGTTTCTTGTCTGTAAGTCATATCACTCATTTATCTTCTCCAACATGTCATTAAAAAAAAAAAAGACAAATAGGGTGAGATAGTAAGCTAGTACAAGAGTATGCAATTTCTATGGGTTGGAAAAGCAACATATTTCCTCACAAATTCTTGAGGAAAATTCAAGCAGGCAGTAATATTAAATGCATTAGCTTTCAGAATGCTAAGACTTATGTTTATGACTGGATACTCTTAGGACAGCTAATTTGTGCAAATCCTGGCTGCACAGTAAACTCACTGAAGAGAGCTACCTTTTGAGCAGACTCTACAGGAGGGAGTAAGCTCAGGTAGGTGTTTGGTCCAGATTCTCCTATTGCTGCTTGAGTCCTCTTAGGCACTTGCAGAAATAAGTAAAATCACAGCTCCCAAAACTTATATGCTAGTCTTTATGCTATATTATTGCCAGCACTCTTCAGGGAATTTGAGAAGAAATTCTCAGAATGTAACACACAAAAATGCAATCAGCTCACCAGGAGAAATTACAACCATGGTATCATGGAGACACTTCTACAGAATAAGCCTTTGTCTTCAAGCCATTTTTCACAGTCGTAATTTTCAAGTAAGTCAGACCGGTATACAGCAGCAAAAAATGTGGAGTAGGCAACAAAGTAACATTGTGAAAATGAAGATCAACCCCTTCTGATAGCAGCACCTTCTCTACAAATTACAATGAGCAAACAAGATGCAGACATTTACTTTAGACCAAGTGTGGCAACTGAAAAAGTATTTGGGTTTTGGAAAATAAATTTTTTATGGTGAATCAAACCAATACCAGGGATGCTGGAATATATCACAGCCTTACAATGAAGGCTGCTCTAATCTTCTCTATCCTCTGTCTCTATGAAATTGTCATGTTTAACATAGCTCAGATTAATACCCTGAGACAGAGAAAGCAACGGTACTCACATTCACACCAAGCTAATTTGATGTGAATGGAATGAGTATTCCAGGGCAGGGGAGATATGTCCCCATCAGTGCTCTGTCCTGAAATGGTGCTGCTGCTCTTCAGTGGGGAAGGCAAAACCTGCTTTGCCGGACTGTTGCCCAGGTAAACGGATTAAATCCAATGCAAGCAATGAAGCCTTTGCATCATCCTCCTGTGACATAAAAACTGCCTTATATTTTCATGGAAAAGTTATCTCAGTCATGGCTGGCATGTAAATACTTTCCAGCGGGGTTTCCACGGAAACAGGAAAAACTGTGCGCATGTGTACGTGTGTATGTGTGTATGTGCGTGCATGTGTGCGTGTGTGTGTAGGTGGGAGGAAAAGGTGTTATCTTCAGATTGGAAGCTATTTTTAGGTAAGCCACAGGTTAAAACGACTACCAAATGCTAGTTAAGAAGGTGGCCGGGGGTGGAACTGGACTTCTCAGAAGGATCACATTCTGAAGGGCACTTTATAAAACATTTAATGAGCTACTAAGTGTCCTTTTAGTCTTCTTTCATTTTCTTATTCATGCTTGGTACCACTCTGTGAAGCCTTATATAACAGAATCTTCTCCTCTGTGGCAACCTGCTAAAGGTTAAGAGACAGAATGCTCTAAGTAGAACAAAATCCCCAAGGAAGATGCAATATCCAGCAGAAAGGAAGGCAATTTCTGACTTCAAATAAAGCAGTAATGTCTTACAGATGGTATGGTGGGAGGAGGTATTGTTCCCTCCTGCGCTGTCTAAGGAATGGGAAGGAGACCACAGTCGTCTGTCCTTCTTAGCTGATGATCCCAGTTTTATCAAAGAGTAGGACATTGGCAGCATTTGCTTGTAGCTAAGTGGGGTGATAAGAGTGTCACTGTCTGGCTCAAATGATTGGGTTGCTGGGTACATTTTCTGGACACCCTTTTTAAATTTCTGCAAGCAGCATTAGGAGAGAGGTTTTCTTGTTGCTCAAGGGCTTGAGCTAGAAAGAGAAAAGCTGAATTTCCCTGGAGGACAGTGGAGTAAGAAAAACGGAGTTAAGCCCCTAGGAAAAAAGGAAAAGCAAGACAGTGGAGTTTGGAAGAGAGAAATTAAAAAATTAAAAACAAAACAAAAAAAATCCTGAATAAAATAGGTGAAATCCACCTAGTCATGACACCTTGCAGAAATCATTAACTCGACAGTGTCCTTGCATCTGTCTTGTGTGGTGTTCCAGCTCTGTGTAAGCCTTTTCTTCTTTCTTGAAAAAGAAGGAAGGGAGGAAAGAAAAATAATTTGGAAAAAATATAAAGAGGTTCCTAAAAAGCTCCTAAAGAAATTAGGAGAAGTAAACTAAATCATGGCAGTTTGGAGTATTATGCTTAAAAAAAAAAAAAAATTACAAATATATGAAAATTAAAATACAATACGAAGCTATTTTTTCTCCTTTTCTTGTAGCCTTACTCTGAGACTGTCTTTTCACAAGGGCCTTTTCCTCAACATTGTAGTTTTAAAATAATGGGCATTTATAAGTAAAACTGATTTATGTTCATATTCTGTTTTTACTAGGGGAACACAGGATATTTAATGTACTCATTTGCTCTAATATAGAGATTGATATTCCAAAATGCTTGTGTCTAGGGATTTAGACCCAGACACACTAATCTGCATCAGTGAAAAGTAATAAAAACCCCACAGATATGCTTGCTTTGCAAGAGGGAAAAGCATGAAGAACATACTTCATGGAAGTTGACAATGCAGGAGAAAGAATTAGGTCCCTATGCAGGTCTTCTGTATCATCACAGCAAACACGCTTCAGGATGACCTACTATATGACTATATCCACTTCACATCCTGCAGATTTCAGGACAACATTTTTTTTCCCCCAAAGGCATATCTGAAGCTTTGTCAATCCAGATTGACAGTGTCTCTATATTATCATTACCAGAATGTGGAGACACCAACAGTTTTTTTAAGGGATTTTTCAAAACAGCACTTATGGATCACGAACCTGTATCTTTAGACTCTGTAAGTTGAAAACCAGAGAGAAGCAACTTTATGCTATCTTTCCAAATTCTGACACTACAGCAATTCCTTTTTAATTAGAGTAAGGAAAAACCATCAAAATTTCAAGCTACTTGATTGAATTCTACTTAGAAACAGAAACAACTAGTGTCAATATACAATGGAGACACTTGGTTACAAAAAGATCAAAACTCAAGGTCAAGTTTGGAAAAGCTGTAAAGATGGCTTAGGAGGGCAATGAACAATTTCCCTTCTTCAAATTTTAATTCATCAATGGAAAGGGTTACAGAAATGCTGTGAGTGGGCTTCTGCTGTTGCCTGCAAATTTTATTGTCTTCTAAAAATTGATAGTAATCTTATTAGTGTCCATGAAGTCAATATGCAGAGCAGAAGGAAACTGAACCATCCAATGTTAGCTTCAGAGTGATGCTAGAGTTTGGAAAGGTGTTTAAGGAAGCTATACACAAAAAGTCTGTCAATTCCTTGAGGAGAGGCTCTGGTACAATACAGAGTTGGCAGAGACCCTGAAAGTAGGGTCCTAAGTATTATGGAAGCCTATTTACTTGTTCCATGGATGAGTAGACTACTTTTATTGCAACTTCTCAAAAATTCCAGTATGTATTTTTAAATTACAAAATAGGTTTCAGCATATCAATAACTCAAGCAGCCTAAGAAAGCTGCCAAGATACCACTGGAAGAAGAAAAAATTGGAAAGGCCACTGGGGAGGAATCCAGCATGGACCATCTCAAAATGCTGTTAGGAGACTGCTAGTTTTTATTTTAACAGCAGATACCTGAAATCCTTTCATTCAGATTGATGGAGCTAAATCTGCAGACTCATTCCTCCACCAGTTACAAACCTCCTTGCTTTGCTCTATTGTGCCATTTAGATAAGGATAAATAATGTATCCTACATCTCATACATAAAAATCATTGTTCAGAATGTCCTAATACTTGCTGAAATTAACATAAAAGTTCCAAAGCCTGCATCACTGCAAATTTAAACTGTCCAAAGGGAGATGAAAGGAATTTCACATTGCTGAGTAATGTACTCTTGCAATAATTTTCCCTTCTTCCCCTGCAGTGTCTTGAAACTGAAGCCTTTATCTCAAATGATAAAGCTCCTTGACCTTTCAGATTTCTGAACAAGCCTAGGAAATGTTTTATTACGATATAAATTGATAGCATTTGGACATTGCTGTGATATGTAATTGCTTAAGATTGCTTTATCTTCATTGTTTTCACTGAACAATCTCAGTGGGAAAAAAATCATATGAAGCAAGGTAACAGAAGGCAGGATGCAGAAGTTTGTGTACAGGTCCTCCTTCATAATGAATTTTGACTATTGCATGAGGCACATCCTGACAGGTTGTCTTAAGAGAATAGGTTTTGTGCAATGTGACAAGTAATTTCTATTAGCTATATTTAGGGCTGCAAACATATTACCTGTAAAGTAAAGATACATTTCCCAGAATAATAGATTCCAGACTCCCACTTTACCTTACAATGAAGGGCAGGAACAGAAGGCAAGATCTTTCATATGTGGCAAACTGTACACTGAGTTCAGTTGTAAATGAAAACTAAATATTATGTAGACAGTTCATACGGTCAGCTCCTTTCTATTAAGATATTCACTTTCAGTGAAAAGCACAATCAAGCATGCAATATATTTACTAACACAAGAATTTAAAAAAAGATAAAAAAAGTCATTAACCTCTTCGACATTATGGGCGATTCCATTCTGCACTGGTCCTGAATCACTCGGTGGTGTTACTGCAACTTCCACTTTTGCACCTTTCTCTGTGGATCATCCATGGATAAGAGCATAAGAGCAGGAAAACAACAGATCAGAATATTAAATTACAAATATACTAGTGAAATAGCTATCATATGTTCAGTCTGAGGAAATTATCAAATATTAAAGTTGAACCAACATCTGTGTTAAAAGAGAGAGAAAAAATTGCCTGGTATATGTTTTCAATAAAGATCTTATAAGCATTGAGAGTTGCATTCCAATAAATATTTAAGTTCATTGCAATATTCAGAGCTCTCTGATTGTGCAAAATGCACTGAGTGTAATACTTCAGGTAAAAAGTGATGTACAGCATTCACCCCTGACATTATAGAATGCACTGTGCTGCATTTGCAGGTGAGGGGACACATTCAGTGCTGTAAGTTTTCTAACACACTGACCCCTGCAATTAGTAAAGTTGCCTCCAAGCCATAATCCTGCCATCTTCCATGCAAAAATGTGGGAAAGAGTAAACAGATGGTGTAATAACATCTAATTATAGAGGATGATCTTTAAACCAGAATCCTGTAGTCCTTGTGCTGAACTTCCACATGAGCTTAAGGGATGAAGTTAGGCCTTTGGTTTCTGATGCCAAATTTTTTAAAATTTTTTTCTTACTTTGACTATCTTGGAATTCTGTAAGCAGTAACCTCCCTAAGTATGTAGTACATAAATGTGTCAATGGCCCTAACACCCCTTGGACAGTACAAATGGGGAATAGCAATATGAAATGCCTTACTCAAGTTCAACATGCCTTATGGTATGCTCTTGTGCATAGAAGTAAATACAGCTGTCTAGTTACATTACTGCTATCCTGAGATTCTTCTAAATTAAAAATCTGAGATCACAGCCACAGCAGACTGCCAGACTATCTGTAATTATTTCAGTATATGTGTGTTGTCTCTTAACCCCACAGTTAGCATTATGGTTTATTAACAGACTGTCCCAACCAACTGCCTGATTTTGGAAACAAATAATATGTAAACATAACACAAGGTCAGAAAAAGTGTCAAGTAATAATAAAATTATTCAGATCTTATTTGACACATTTGTATCCGGTTTTCTAATGCAGATAATATGATGAGGTAGAGAAAACAGATTTTTTCATGGTACAGATTTTCCTTTAGCATAGGAACTTTGGAACTAAAATATAAATTCTTGCCTTAATGGCAAACCCTAGTCAGTTAATTTTGCACAATTAGCACAGATGGGCCTCAAAGGCTTCTAGCAAGTAGTATACAGACAAATCAAATCTTAAATATAAAGGTGATACTTTTTGTGACAAGAGTATACCATATAAAGCACATGTTCTACTAGAGAATTTCAGTAAATTAATTAAATTTTCTTGTATATACTGCAAGGAAGTTTTGTCTCTCTGTCACTTCAGTCCATAACCAAAATCAGCTTTGCTTTTTCTTTTCAACATTGTAGAAGACTTTCTATATGCCTTGATTGGCTTTCTATTATTGCATTTAACTTCTGTCCCATTCATAATTCTCAGACTCTTTGGTAGAGAGAATCAGAGTATTTTTATTAAAATAGCATATGTAATGTAGGAGAAAGTAATGATTAACAATTTTCAAACAAAATAAAACAATGAAAATAATATCAGGACCATGTGATAAATCTGTAATGCTGCACTCACCATGATTAGCAGCTCCATTCTGCCTTTCACTGTCTTCCACCTGGCACTTCTTTTTGGCAATCTTATGCAGAATTGAGGCCCTTTCCTTGAACTTTCCTAAAAGAAAACATTGTCATTATTACAATGCAGCTATTTTGAGATGCAAAGTTTATTTGCCATACCTTAGGCTCCATAGATCACTGCTGATAATCATTTAAATTCCTCCTCAAACAACAAATACCCTATTAAACACTATCTCATGTTCCCATATACAGGGCTGTGATTTGTTGGGGGTTTTTTTGTGGAAATAAAACTGAAATTTTTTTTGAGAACAGCAACAAACAGAAGAAGAAATTGAAAACAAAAGCTGCGATTTTTCTTTGGAAGAGGTCAGTAAAAATCCACCTATAAATGTGCTGGTGTAAGATTTTAGCTGAAGCAGAAGATGAATACATGAATCAAGATATCATAAACAAACCAAAGAGTTTCAGTTCTCAATTAGTAATACCATAGAATAGAATTTCATATTAACACATATATTGACCATACTCATTATAGTGAATGTGGTCAGCTTTGTCACTTTGGACTCATCTATGTGTCTGTGACTTCTACTCACTTCAGTGCTTGGTAAAATTATGAAGAAGATTATTCTGGGAGTTACTGAAAAACACCTGAAAGTCAACACAGTCACTTAGCCAGCGTGGCTTCATGAGGGGAAAGTCCTGCTTATCAAACCTGATTTCCTTTAATGACAAGATAACACACACAGCTCATCAATGGAAACCAATTGATGTGATCTCTTTGGATTTCAGTAAATCGTCCAAGACTGTCTCTCACAGAATCCTTCTGGACAAAATGTGCAGCCCACAGCTGGACAAACACATCATGTGATAGGTGGTCAACTAGCTCATGGGTCAGGCACAAGGGGTCACATCAGACTGGGGACCTGTCACTGGTGGGTTCCACAGGGCTCCATTCTCAGCCCTGTGCTCTTCAACATCTTCATAAATTGCTTGTATGTACGACTGGAAGGGATATTGAACAAGTTCACAGATGATATAAAACTCAGAGGAGCTGTTGACACCCTCGAGGGCAGGGAGGCCCTGCAGAGAGACCTCAACAAAGGTTTGGGAAATCACCAACCATTTCAACAAGAAAAAGTGCTGGTTTCTTCATCTGGGATGGGGCAACCCTGGATGTATGGAGAGACTGGGAAATGAGATGCTGGGAAGCAGTGCCATGGAAAGGGACCTGGGGGTCCTGGTCAATGGCAAGTTGAACATCAGCCAGCAGTGCCCTGGCAGCCAGGACGGACAACCCTGTCCTGGGGGGCATCAGGCACAGCATCACCAGCGGGGCAAGGGAGGGGTTTGTCCTGCTCTGCTCTGAGCTGGGGCAGTTCTGGGTTGTGCCACCACATCAGAAATACATCAAACTAGATGAGTTAGAGAGTATCCGAAGGAGGAAGAGGAGGATGGTGAAGGATCTGGAGGGGAAGCTGTATGAGAAGTAGATGAGATCACTTGGTTTGTTCATTTGGTGAAGAGGAGATTGAGAGGAGACCTCATTGCAATCTTCCAACACCCTAATGAGGGGAAAGGAAGGGGCAGGAACCAGTCTCTTCTCAGTGCTGACCAGTGACAGGACCTGAGGGAATGACCTGAAGCTGAGTCAGGGGTGGTTTATGTTGGGTGTTTGAGAAAAATTCTTCACCCAGAGGGTGGTTGGAAACCAGAACAGCTCCCAGGGCAGTGGTTACAGCACCAGCCTGACAGAGCTCAAGAAGTGTTCAGAGTGCTCTCAGGCGCATAGTGTGACTCTTGGGGATAGTGCTGTGCAGGGCCAGGAGATGGACTTGGTGATCCTTGTGGGTGCCTTCCAATTCAGCATATTCTGTGATTCTGTAATTCCAAAGGGGAAGAAAAAATCTTCAGAATACATGATATTAATATCAAGTTTGTAAAGGTAAATTTTTTTCTTAACCGACTAGGTGGATTTTTTTTTGTCTCCCATGAAGTTAACCATGCAGCTCAACCTCTACACTCTCTGGGGCAACACACTGTCCAGAGGTCCCAAGTTTTGTCACTCTTTATTGACCACTGTGTCCAAATTCTACATTAAAACACAGCAATGTCAAAGATGCCAAATACCAAATAAAACCTTTTTCTGCCTTGATAGATCTTTCTATATAAGGACTCTTTGGACATCTTATGACAACCTATGATGTGTAGAAAGTTGATGTATATGCCTTTTCTGATTTATCCTGATTGCAATTGCACTTGTTTATATTTTAAAATATTATATTTTATATATAATATATATATTATAATATATTATATATATATAATATAATATAATATAATATATTATATATATAATATAATATATTATATTTTAAATTATTTTAAAATATTTTTTAGGAGTCTAACTCGTGGCTATTTTACAGCACATTTTTCTAATTCAAAATACTATTACGATACAGGCCTGTAGCTCTTTTGATTATTCAACTATTTTCCATTGAAAACTGTTGGGTCCCTGCAGCAAAACCAGCAGAGACTTAAGACCAGAAGATATTTCAATGTAATTATATAAAAGATTATCAGTGGAAAGTAAAAGTAAGAAGTCATGAATTAATTCAGTTACTTGGATAGCAGTCACTTGTTGCCAAGCTAAAAACTTGGAGAAATTCCAAGCACACAAAGATAAATCATTAGTCATGAAAGAAATCCTCTCTTCCCTCCTTAAAACAGAAGCTTCAAACCCCTGTACCCACACTTTTGTATGTGAAGAAACATATGAGCAGTTCACAGGGACTACCAGCTATCATTTGCTGTGAAATGGAGCTAGTTTCTTGACAGCAAACCACTTGGAAAGTAATAAAAATACCACAAATATTTATTAAGATTTTATTTATAAATATTTATTACTGTCCTTTCTGAAGTCCCTATCTTTTCACAAACACATCATGCTCCAAAAAAAAAAATAAAAAAAATAGCATAGCAATTCACAATATTTGGCAAATATTATCTTCTTGGCACCTAGAGTAAAACGCCTGCAAAATAGTATTTAAGCATAGAACACAATCATAAATAATATGACTATTTATCTCATTATTTCACTGCACAGGGTAGAGCCAGAAATTCTAATTAGAAGGGAAGAAGTAACAAAGAGTTAAATAAAGAAAGAGTGAGAGAAAGAATGAGAATTTTTTTGGATAGCAGATAAAAGAGAAGAAAACAGGAAAAAATACAAATCATATCCCCAAATATTTTAAGCCAAAATGCTGAGTCATAGTGGTTCCTAATTTCTTTTGGAAGAGTAGTGGCACTTAAAAATTAAAAGAATGAGTTAGCTTATCCAGAAGAATGAGTAGATATGAAAAGGTCTAATATAATTTCAGCTTGCTAAAGGATTGTGCTAGCTTTAAGACTCCAACTAAGCTTTATATGCTTGAAAATACAGTTTGTGATGCCACATATATACAAATGCATTTTATGCAATCAATGAACATGATGCAGCTGAGACATTTTCTGAAAAATAGCTGTGGAGCCACCCATGTCTCCACCTATTCCAGAATGGTGTAGGACCTTCGAATTAAGGGTTCAGTTTTAGAGGTTAATTAAAATGATGAAGATCCTAAGGATATTTTTTTTAACAGAGAAATATGGCTATTATTGAACTGAAAAGAAAATGTCTTCACAGAGAGTCACACCAGTTTAGGTTAGTTTAATTGAATGTGTCCTCCATTTTTTCACATTTACAAAAACCTCTCAGCATCTTTAGAAAGAATTTCTGACACTGACCTTTAACAATTTTAAGTTACGCCATTTCATTCAGGACACTCTTAAGTCACTGTCACAGAAGTCAAAATCAGCATTTGAAATGGAATATGTGGGGTTTTTTGTTTTTATTTCTCAGTAGATGCATGGTTCAGTCTATATTGTTTAACATCATTACCTTCCATTAGGTTCATTCAATGTAGGTAACAGAAGTGCAAGGAAATTATTAAAAAGCATTATTAACTATCAAAAACATGAAACTGACAAAGCAGTAGCACCCACCTACATGAAGATAGTGAAATGTAAAAAACCAGCAGAGCAATGCCCCCTCCGTCCCTCCCTCCCTCCTTTTTCTAAGACTTTACTCCTTTAAACCAAATCAAAACTTGCTCACTGAAGGGAAAGCACAGAGCCACCAAGAAAAAGGACCAGCTGAGGATATATCTATGTTATTCCAATTTTTAGAAGGCCACTGAGGTCAATCTTAGGCACAGACCTTCTGTAATGTCCTTTTTCTTATCTTTAGATGGGGTCATTAAATAAAGCATAGGAATCTAATGTCACTGTTCTTTTTTCTAGCAGGTAGGTACCTATGTTTCCTCTGGAACAGTCCTATGGTTTGTCTTTGTAACAGAGATTTTCACAACAGTTGGTATAATGAGAGCTTTGGTGAACGACAGTGCATGCTTCCATGGACTTAAAATAGGACAGATCTCTACAGAAAATTCTTAGTTAATCTAGGTTCACTAAACCCCACCAGAACTGGCAGCTCATTTTAGTTTGCAAAGAATGTGGTAGAAGGAAGAGCTGATCAAGGCCAGATGATTACCAAAGAAGGTAGCTTAAAACTACATTGTTTTTATTTGAACAGATACAAGCAAATCAGTATTGTATAATGTAGATATGCGTTGATCTGCATGAGTAACTCCAGCTGGCATCAGCTGGCAGAGATTCTCCTCCTGATAAAGGATATATTAAAAAGCCAATCCTTTATCTACAAACTAAATTGCAGTCTAGAGACTCCCTGGGTCAGAAAAATATCTGATTTGATGTGAAAACAGTTCTTCAGAAGTTCACTCATTTAAAAAATTCAAGACTCTATCCCTTGCCTTGTTTTCAGTCTGTGATCAAAGGAAAATTACTGCATCTATATAGCTATAGCCGAGCTTTTGTGAGTCTGAACATGTCAAATCTGTGGCTGTTGAGCACTCCGAACTGTACTTACTAATTCTGTTATGACCTGCTGTGGAACATAACTGGTGAGTCACTACCAATCAATTCCAGAAATCCACCTTACATGCTTTCTCCTTGGCAGAAGTATCAAATGAAAACACATTCTATTTTGTCACGTTGTAGGCTATTGGTAGAGCACAAGATTACAGTGAGCTTCTCTTCTCATCCTGTAGGGCACATTTACTCTCCCAGTTTGATCTGATTAATCTAAAATGAATTTAAAGCCACTTTCAGACCAAAGAGAAACAATCAAAACAACAGAAATCAGTTTCTAATGTATGGAACACTATGGCTCTCTGGCCATTAGGCTGAATCTGATCATGTATTATAGCTTAACCATTAATTCTTGCCCCTGATTGTTCTGATGCAGCAGGAAGAATAAATGCACCTGAGTTTCTTCACTGGAGGACTGAAAGAATATTCCCTATCTTGACTCCAGGCTTGAGGGCTGTACATAAGGGTGTACTTTGTCAGAAAAAAAAAATCAATGGATTTGTAACTGGATTTATGTGTTCCTGTGACTAAGCTGCTGTGCAAAAGGTACAAAAAACTCAGTAAAAAAAAAAACAAGAGGAAGAAGAAAATGGGTAATGCAAGTAAGTGCGATGCAGAGTGATAGCAATTAGACTTCTAAAAATCCAAATAGAAAGCTGAAAATATAGTTCACTTTGATCAAAATACAACTTCTGAGATAAACTAATCATTACTTGCTTTGTGAAAGACAAGTGAAAATGATGATGGTTGTTTTTGAGAAGGTAAACTGCATCACAGACTCTTGTCAGTGTTAGTGTTTCTAAAGACAAAGAGCTTCCTTTTTATTTCTGCTACTGGATTTTTCCTGTTGCTACAGTATGGTCCTGAATTATTTATTATTGAGAAATGCATTCTGAGATGACATTGAATATTAAAAGCATTACTTCTGCAAAGGCACAGTAATAACACACATATATGTATGTATTATACTGCAACAGGTGTTTCCCTACAAATAACTACATTTAGATGTCAACGGAGTATTTATGCATTTCAGAAGGTTACTTTGGAAATAGTAGATTTAATATTTCACCATAAAAAATAAAAACCTTAACATACCCACGATTAAGGCTACAATGAGGAGTTACCTTTTCATTTTGATTGTAATGATTGTAATGAAGACTGAGATAAGACATACTGCAAAAGCTTTACCTCTGGAAGTCATATCTGAGTGGCCCAGGTTAATGACTCCTTACAAGTGCTTGAGAGGTGTACTTAAACAACATAGACACCACTGTTTGCCTGTTAATATCTACTTTAAGACATCTCTTGTTATATTGGTACCACCTCTGTGGACCAGATGCTTAATCTGGGCAATGGAGCACAGTGAGGCAAGATCATTCTACCACTGGAGCTCAGGCCCACCACAGATGAAAACAGCATCTTCCAACACCTGCAGCAAAGGTGCATGGAACCATCTGCCACAGCCAGCCCCAGAACTGGATGGTGGTGTTGGTGTACCAACAGCAGATGCAGAAAGAGGGAAACAGACGTTTTCACTTTCCATCCTCCCTGAGAAACGATCACGAGGAAGACATGTAATGAGGATTCTCTTAAAATCTTCACGACTACTCAACACTAGAAAGCAGCTGTGTTTTTAAAAAAAAGAGAATTATGGTATTTGTCTTAAATTCCCAAGATTAAAAAAAAATAGGAGTAGGTGGCTAACTTTACTACCTCAAGATTTTCCCCATCCCCAGACATGCTGCTAATTTCTAAACTTAATAATGAAAACATCTGTCTGACATTATAATCAGAGAGCTGGGCAAGAGGCCTAGATCCTACAGACAATCAGGTCTCAGTTCAGGGATAATTCCAAATTGTAGAAATGCTGACCGCACTTGGATGAAAAGTATGTGTTGGGAATTTAGTAGAGAGTTAACTGCTTTCCTGAATTAGTATGATAGAACTGCAATGCCTTTGAGTCAGCAGAAAAATTTCCTGAGATTTCACTGAGCCCTGATTCAGGCCCTAATTGCTTCCTTCTTGTATTGCTAGAATGAGGATTTAAAACTGCAAATTTTTTGCATTGCAATCAAGCATACAATTAATAATCCAGGATTAAACACGCCTACTTTTTAAAGGTTATTCATTACTTTTCAATAAAACAGTAAACTGAAGTCACTTAGCAATTGTTCTGAGTGGTTTGAAAAATCCATAAATTAATTCCGCTTCTTGAATGCATTGTAAAACATGGCATCAAATAAGCACCTGCAATCTATGTTATACTGTGTCATATAATTTCCAAGTATGGGTTTGCACATGGTCTTTGCTAAAGGTAGCCCATAGTATTTCCTTACCTGAAACAGAAGAACTGAAATGTTGAAAAGAAAAGCTTGAAAAAAGAGTCGTAACTGATTGAGCCATCAATAAAGACATGCAAAAAAGGAGTTATTCAAAAATGGAGAAAATGAAAACAGGACCAAGAAAAACAAAGGAAAATGTAAACACATAAAAGGCGCTCAGGGGGCTTCAAAAAAAGCTCATACAAACAATTCTAAAATATTTCTTACCTTCTTCAGTCATTGTGTCATAATATTTTAGGTTTCCATATGATCCAAGCTCTATAACATCACAGTAAAAGACACAGAGATAAGGAACCAGCAGACATTCAAGAAATGTACATGTTTTTGCATGTGCTTAATAAACTGGAACAGTGATTATGCAAAACATTTTCTAGGACAATGAAACACAGATTACAGAAATGGCACTGCTTTCCCCCTCCAAAATTTCACAAGTCATTGACTTTAGCTAAAGTGTTAAACTTTCTAAAGGGAGATGTAGGAGAAGCACTGAAATCTAAAATTCAGCCTTTTCAGGTTTCTTGACAATTTGGTGCCTTTACGTTTGGGAAAAGATAATAAACCTTGAGAGTACCTAAACAGTGGTAATTTTGCAAGCTAAGCTCTTTTATCATTCCCCAGGTCAGATATTCAAATACTTCTGTATCCAAATTAAACAAGAAAGTCTCAAAACACACAATTTTAGGAACTGTTCATAATGCTTTCTCCTGAACACTGTTTTGATACCAGTGCTGATTTTGACTGGCTTTAGAGGGGCAACTTAATTTAACCACTCTCTTGTCACTTGTGAAATCAGAAAAAAGTTACTTGCTTCATCAGGTGATATGAGACCTAAATTAATTAAATCATTAAATCTATCTGAATATATATATATCTGAATATATTGCATTACTATATTCTATCAGGGCAGAAAAAAGAATGGAATGCAGAGGTCTCCATGTCTGTAGGGCTACTACTATTTGTTTCTGTGTGATACAATCTTGCATGAAATTACCTTTTTACTTCTTTCTTACTTTTTACTTTTTGGCTTTACACTCCTTTTCTTGAAGTGCTTTTTTCTTTACATTTGGCATATATGTTATTATATGTATCAACACAATGATTAATATAAACCTACAAAATGGGACAATGGAAAACTAAGCTCAACAGGAAATTTGTAAAGGATCCGGCTGAAGAATTTGTGGATGACCACTCATCATTTTTATGTAAAGTTTAGCAACAGAGCTTCTGAGCATCCAATTGTGAGAGCATGTAACCATTAAAAAATGGATACTTAACAATTTGGGGATTTTTTTTCTTTGCAAATATTTTCTTTTCATATTTATGGAACAGCTCAAGCAATTAAATGCAAAAGTGATATCCAATTATTTTGTTTTTTGATGACACATAATGATTTTTCAAAAAATTTTCACAAAGGTGAATTTCAGTAGAGGCCTGGCTATTAGTTTTTAACTGTAAAGTACTGTGATGACATAAACTCTGACACTTTAAGACATACATTTAAAAAATAAAAAAAAAGGAATCTCACATCATTTGCACAGAGAGAGAGAGAATGCCCTATGCCAGGCAACTAAACCAGGATATTATAACTATTGTATATCTAGTAAGTATGATTGGATTGTAATGATTTTTCATGGGTATATTGGAAAGAAACTTTCAAGTACTCATATATTCTTGCTAGTACAATGCAGTGTCTTACTTGCCCATAAGTAAGCCAAACAGGATAGGACATTAGGTCTCTCTTAAAGCAAAAAAAAATGTAATTTAAAGACAGAATTGAATATATTGTCTTACAGCAATAAAGAATGCATACACTCTTTTGTAAAAATGTTCTTAGACTAGCAACAAAATCTTTGTAGCTGCTAGTACATGTAAGAAGCTATTGTCCTACCATCCTAATTTTAGTCCTAAAGATTAATTTCATTACCTGGAAAGACCTCCCTATAATGTCAATACAGACTTCCCATCATATAGACTTCCCCTATACAGCATTTGGAACTACCTGTCCTATTTAATTAGGGCTCAGTATTCACTGATTCTATGGTTACATATGGTTATTCTATGGTTACCTTGGCTTATACTTATTCTCACTGATCTTTGCCTTCATGTGTCTGTGGCCTGCTTTGCTAGAACCTGGGCTGGGGCATTCACTGGAGATTGAGGACAGAACTGGAACACATATGCCAGAAAGAGTCTGCCAAAAGGAGTGTAAGAGTAAAGAAAGAAATGAAGGCACATGGAGAACAAAACGTCGGCAGAGGAGGACTGCATGAATGAAGTTGAGAAGAACATTGCACCATGCAAGCTACAAGGTTCAGAATTAACAGAATAGCACGAGACTTCTGACTCAGCAGATGAAGCAGAAGAGATTTCAGAGGAAACCAACAACAACTGTGAATTCTAAATCTCAAACAAAAATAACAGGGTGGCAGCAAGGCAGGACATTCACACACTGGCAATCCCATTTAAATCTGTTGGCTTCCCATCTGAAGCGAGAGATAAAAGACAAACAGGGAGGAAAAAAAAGGGTTGATCTGACCTTACAGAGACCAAAAAAGAAGAGAAACAAGGTGATGCATGACAGTGCATGATGCTGATGATAATCATGTTCTGGGCACCTCAGCAATTCAACAGAGCAAGGATTAAACTAGGTTAATTCCTGCAGTTAGTAAATTTCCAGGAAAACTCTAATCTTGCTGGTGAGATTATGTTCTCCAAATCTTATAGTCCTGTACTCAGAGTAGAACACTTTATACAATCATCAGCTCACTGACTGCAATGCACTACAATGATCCCAGAAAACAGCTGCATGTACTCACATGAATTATATTTAAGATTACTTATGTCATGCTTTCTTGGCAGTATGACAGATCTGCCTCTATACAGTCTGCCTCCAATATATGGTACTTCTGCTGTAAAATTTGGACTAAATCTGCTCTCTGTTTTTGAGTTCTCCTGTTATACCACACCGAGATACATTCTGTTTAATATGACTTTAAGTAAACAGAAAACTAAGTACTTTTCAGGTAAAAAAAAAGTAATTTCTTAAAAATTTCATAGCTTTAGAAGTAAACTTGTTTGAAATGGAATTGAAAAGGGTACTTCAAAAATTATCCCCAAATTCAATACAACTAAAATTTGACAATTCCATTTTTGTGAACATGCTATGCAATTCCCCTGGTGAGTTCATAGTAGATAGCCTGCATGACAGACAGTACCTACATCCCTGCTAGTCACATGAAACAAAGAGGATGCAGAGATGCAGCTTAACAGCTGATCCCCAACAGTTACGGAGTCACCGACTTAATTTGTTCCCATCTGCATATTTTTACACTAGAAAAGAACAGAAGGTTCCTGGTAACCCTGTCTGACATTCCTGAAGGATTACAGCAACTTTGTCTTACTACCTACTTACTGTTCTCTACCGTGTTTGTAGGTGTCACACCTCATCAAAGCAAAAAAAAAATATTGTTGGTTAATGGGGCTATGTTATTTCTGATTTCAAATTACATTCAAGACATCCAGCATGGGCTTGACCAACAGAAAAGTCCTGCCTGACCAACCTAGTGAACTATTATGAGGGAGTGACTACATCAGCGGACAAGGAATAATGTCAATTTTATGGACTTCTGTGTGATCCCCTCATGCTCCCTCTCACTGAATTGGAGAGAGATGAATCTGTTTAGTGAAAAGAAATTGACTGGATGCTTGCATCCAGAAGGTAGTGGTGAACTGCTCTCAGTCCTGACGGACACTGGCAACAAGTAGTGTCCCTCTGAGATCAGTGTTATTTAATTTCTTCATCAGCTACATTGACAGGGGAGATCAAGTGCATCCTCAGAAAGTCTGAAGACAACATCAAGCTAGGTGATGCAGTTGCCACATCCAAAGGACAGGATGTCTTTCAGAGGGACCTGGACAAGTGGGAATGAGAATTTCATGAGGTTTAACAAGACCAAGTGCATGGCACCTGGGTTGGGGCAATCCCTGGTTCCATAAAAGGCTATGGGATGGACAGATGAGGAGAAGCCCTGGAGAGAAGAACTTGGGGGTGCTCTTGGGTGAGAGGCTGGACATGACCCAGCCATGGGCACTCCCAGCCCAGAGAGCCAAACATGCCCTGGGCTGCATCCAGAGCAGCGTGGGCAGCAGGGCCAGGGAGGGGATTCTGCCCCTCTGCTCTTCTCTGCTGAGACCCCACCTGCAGGGCTGCATCAGCTCTGGGGTCCCAGCACATGGAAGGACATGGAACTGTTGGAGACAGTCCAGAGGAGGGCTTACAAGATGACTAGAGGGATGGAGCCCCTCTCCTGTGAAAACAGAACATTTGGGTTATTCAGCCTAAAGAAGAAAAGGTTCCTGAGACCATAGCGCAGCCGCTTAAAAGGGAACTGCAAAAAAGATGGGGATGAACTTTTTTAGTAGGAGTTACTGTGGTAGAAAGAAACTACATTAGTTATACGTAAGGAAGACATTTTTTATATGGAGGATGTTGAAACAAAGGCCCAGGCTGCTCAGAGAGATGCGGTAAATGTCCCATGCCTGGACATACTCGAAGTCAGGATGGACAGAACTCTGACTGACCTGATCTAGTTGAACATGTCCCTGCTCATTGCAGGGAGATCGTAGTAGATGATCTTAAACGTCCATTGCAACCAAACTATTCTATGATTCTATTACTTAAGACAGCTAATAACTCACTCTATTTTACACTCACTAAGTATAGGACACACTGTGTCCTATACTTAGTCTGTGATGAAATACTCATTTCTGTCTCTTAAGTATATAGCCCCAGGCTGCTATAGAAGAAAAGCAGAACCTATAATTCTCTTCACTGTGACTAAGATCTCAGATACAGACTGCAGCTGACCCTAGTAAGGTCAGAAATGAGCCTGTCTCAGAGTTTCTCCAACTACTCATAAGCCACACAGCTATTTTAGAGACAGCAACCTGCATTACTAAAGGTATGTATCCCTTCAAAAATGTAAAGTCAGATCTCAAATGAAAGAAACTCATTGTGGATTTCTTCAACAAGCATAAGACTTCCACTTTGCATAAAAAAATATATTTGTTATATATATCATATATATTATATGAGAATTCATATCACACTCCTCCAAGTTAATTAAAAGCTTCAAAGTTCCTATGTCTATTATTTGAAACAAAACTGGCAATGGGAAATTACTGATAGCAATCCCATAATCTTTTACTACAATTCCACCATTGCATTTCCTAGACACAGCTTTTGTTTAACTTTTACA